TTTTGGGTAGACGGTCGTAGCAGATGACTGCTTGTTTTAGGGAAGCTGCTATAATATTGCATTCGTCAGTGATTAACTGCTGTCATTCAATGAGGAGTGATATTTCGTTTTTCTACCTTTTAATATGTTAGAGTATATTTTCTCAAAATATCTTTTTGTTCCCGAATCGATGAATGGAGTTTAACGCCTAGAAAAGTTAACTCATCTTCTGTATTTTTTAACAATTGCTAGTCTCTTGTTAAAATCAATGTGTTTCAGAAGAATCTCAGTATTTCAGATATGCTCTTATCGCATATTTAGATACACGTCTTTTCACTGACATGAATGAGGTAAATAGCTTTTTGCATGTTATTAGAAATTCTAATCATTTTAATTATTTGCCTGAATAAGCTTAAAGAAAATTTTTCGAAAATATTAGTATTGCAGTTCTAATTTTGCTTATTTTTCCTAATTTTTTCACGCAGATTTCTTCAGGACCGTTTGACTGATCCCACACATTTAGTTTTGCATTTCTTTTTTTCTTTGACTCACACATTTAATTTTGCAGGTCTTCGATCCCTTACTTTTCAATGCCTTGCATAAAAAGCTGCTTGAAATGCTCGACGATGTGAATTTTGAACATTGGCTGCTGCGTTCGATGCTACTTTGTAATAAGGTTTGCATATACTCGTTCTTTATTTTTCATTCAAATAAGGTGTTTTTTCTTTTTTTTCCAGTTCACAACCCATTTAATTCTGCAGAGTTTCTTAAAACAGAATCAGTGAGTTTTGTTAATGAATTTCCAAATTGACGACATGATATGAATATTTTTTCATATTGAATTGTTTCAGACCACTTTACTATCCAGGCGTGCAGCGTTATCTTCAGTTGCAGTAGCTGTGATCTCGAAGTATCATGATATATCTCGGACGGCATGGAATGCTGTACTCAATTTTTTGTTAGCGGAAGAAAATGATTCTAAAGCAAGGTTTACTATTTCTAAGAAAGTTTCATCGAAATTGTTTTTCCATCTTTTAAAGGACTTTTATGAGAAAATCGTAATGACGCTTTTCCATTTATGTCGTGATCCTTATTATATTTCGTCCAATTTTTGGAATTGGTAGTGGTTTTTGTGACTTTGCTAGCTTCTTTGTTACAGCAGTGCTACAAGTAGAATGGCTGTGTTTGGGGAAACGATCGCACAAAATAAATCTGTGCTATGGCAATTTTTTATAGCTGATCACTCTTTCGACTCTGTATCCATATTCAAATTCTGCATAAACTCATTGAAGATATTCTTCAGTTGGGATTGCCGTCGTGCTTTTCTGGATTTGTTGCTGGCTGTGTTGAAAAAAGTATTCAATATTTTCAAGCCTTATTTTTTTTTGGCACTGCCAGCATTGTTTTTCGTAGAACTTCAGTTGGGCTTTTCATTGCGGCAGGGAAACATAAGCAATTAAACACAGCTGAAACACAAGTGGAAAAATATCCCAGAAAACGGATACAAACCGAAGCAATACGGTCGCATATTGGCATTTGAAAATCAAACGATCCTGCACGAAATTAAGTGGGACGGTTTGCGTTGGCTTCATTCAGTCTGTTTTGTGGCAGAACATATTGCCTTGTATAGCTGTAATTCATCCTCTGCGTTGAATGATAATATAGTTCTATTGGATAGGATGATTTGTCCATGTTATCTGTGAATATATAGATATATTTTTCTAAAAATATATCGGTATTTTGTTTCTTTTTCCGAAAAAAAATATGCATCCTGGCATATACGGTTCAAAAGCATCAGTCGGTTATTAACAAGCATGCTACGGCAGTTTTTCGGATGTTCTTATGTTGACACTTCTTGTATCATTCCGTTCCTTTCATAGTGGTGCATCTTTTATAGGATAGTTTAGATTTCATTCATGAATATTTTCTACCAGAGTTCTTAATCAGTGACTTTATTTTAATTGCAGGCTCCAACCAGCTCGATGATTGACGAGAGTATTGAAACGGTATTGGCAGTTGCTGCTGAGGAAAAGAAGACACTTAACTATATTTCTGTGATCAGTGATGTTTTGACAATCTGTACATTGGAATGCGCATTGCATACGCAGAAAGTTGCCAAAATTGCACTAGTAATTTTTTGCGATTTTTTTCTCTACTTAATGGAAATTTCTTTACACGAAGTAAACACTGCTTACTTTTGAAGTTTTCACTTAACTGTCAGTTCCTACTATAGGTAAAGATAACTTAACTAACACATGAACTAAAGTGAATAGGTTTCCTATAAGCACTGCGAGCTTGTTTTGATAGTCGGCTTACGCTTATGTCTGACACATAGTTAAACTATTATTAAAGCATGCATTGAATGACAGGCAGTCCAGATGTTCGAATCGGCTAGCTTTTTTGATGGTTGGGACACCTTTTTTTATTTTGATCGGATATATGTGGTACAGTATATAAGATTTCAGTTTTTTTCAAAATTTTTCCAGTGCAAAACTTTTTTTAATCTATGATTATAGAAAGCTGTTGAGAAATTATACGCAGAAAGCGAACAGAACGTACAGATTGCAGTAATCCTGGCAGACGCATTGTATCAGGCTAGAAAATTGCTCTGCACCACTTGGTTCTCACTTCTAATTAAAATGTGTGCTTTCGGACCAGTTTGTAAGAAAGACACGCTAGTGCTCAATTTAGCTGTTCAAATGGCTTATACGATGACGAATTCACTGCCGACTTCCAATTATGAAAAGTATGGTTGCTTTTTTTCTGAGGTATGGGCTAACAAGTTCTCTTCATTTTTTTTCGCCAAGTGAAGTTCGATGATAGCGTTCTTTAAATGCCAGAATTTTAAGTCATTTATATCACAAAATTTGGGAATTTCTCTTATACAAGATAATAAAGTTCAAGCAGCAGATATTCCAGATTGCATGAATGTGCTCAGTATTCCCGACTTCGTGCTTTGCAAACGGTTTCTTGGATTTGTAAAAACCGCTGTGGTTCCACAGACAAATTTATTCAGGAAACTTTTCTCATGATGAAAATCCTTGACACTATGAAGAATAAGTAGTTCCATTATTTTTTTTCACTTGTTTTTTGTTATTTTTTTCTTCGTTTTTTTTAGTAGAGAATTTCGCATCGAGGATTTTGTGGGTGGTTTTAGATGATACAGTAGTGTTTGTATCATTCCGTACTAATTATATCGGCTGTTGTATTTTTGAAATTCTTTAGTTTCCATATTTATTTAAAAAGGGTTCTCACTGTTTAACTTCTGTTTATCGAGTACTTTTTGGTTATAATCTATGACTTCATACTTGATCCATGTTAGACACAACCATTACGTATTTAGCAGCTGAAAAGAGTACTTTGTTTATTTAAGATCTTTTGGATTGTCCTTAGCTCATCGGCAGAAAACACGCCTATTACAGTTACTCTTGCTTATCTATGGTTTCGCAAGTGAGGTAAATACATTATGTGTGATTTTTAGTCACTACTTGCGTAATATTATATTTTCTTCTTCCTCAAACTTGCGGATTACCAGTACATTTTTTTCTTTGTGTTTCAGAACTTTTGTTGTAGTTTATAATTAACTGTTCAGGAAATCTTGGAAAAACTAGAATTGTTTTGCATAGAATGCTTGAAAGATCCTTCGCAGCAACCATCAGTTAGGCTTGTCGTGAGCTGGATACTCGTTAGACTGTATTGCAACAATGAAGTTGCATTTCAGAAATTCATTGGCATTGAGAAAGAAGTAAGGCTTACTATCTTGAAGTGTTTTCTTTTATAATCGTACCGTATTGATTTTGACCGTCGTCATGTGTTAAAAGGCTGAATCAATTATCCGTAACATTAGTGAAGGAGCATGTACTCTTATTCTGTTATTACTGGCGGAAAGTTGTTATATCATATCTACTGTCTCCGTGTTAAGATTTTATTGTTTATCATACCTGAGATTATCGACTTAGATTTCATGAAACCGGATTGATGTCCTAGGATGTCTTTCTTATCTGTTACTAGAATTTTAAGGAATGTTTAAAGTTTCACTAACGCTGATTTGTAGCTTGCGGCTGCAAGAATCGGAAGTATTGGTTCATGGATCGTAATATTAATGCATGTTACGAAGATCAGCCGGACAGACGTAAATTGCTATTCATTTCTTCCAATTTTTCGACTAATATCTTCGGTCTTAGTTTACCATTAACCTGGTATGGTATGGGCTGACTTGACTTTTTAGCCTTCTTTCTGAGATTTCGAGTTCGGCTTTTCACAAGTTGAGATAGGAAATTTTTTTAGCATAAAAGTTTCTACAGCACTTGATTTTCAACATTTTACAGGTTGCATTTATTCGATGCTTTACATTATTACATCCATGGTGTACTGCACAAAATTTTACCGTTCGCTGTACTTCATTGGCAGCCCTCAGATTGCTTTGGAATATTGCTGGAAATAAATTGCGTAATCAGTTTGATTATTTACGCTGTATTATCGAATTTGATATGGAAAAAGCAGGGTATTTTTCTGAATTTTTTTGATGTTTTTTAATGTTTTTTTTTTGTCATGTTGATCATTTTGAGTTGGCAGAGTAACTCAATAGAAAATTACTGCTATTTAGTTTGATGACCACCTGAAGATAGCTTCTTGAATTATTTCAGAAACACAAAACGCATAATTGATAATTTATGCAACGATTTCTATTTTGCTTATTTGGATGAGAATGCTGATTATTCTCTGGAGGTTCGTGGTGAACAGTATTATAGACTGTAGATGGTGAGTGTGACTAGGTCCTACAATTTTCTTCAGAACTGTAGGATCTAGCTAATGGGAGGATTGCTCAAGCTAGGAAGATCAAATTCGGTTCCACTGCAGGGACTTGAGTCTTTAATATTTTTTGGTGTATGTACTGTCCCAGAAAATTAGTCTCCATCATCCTTGATATAAGAAAAGGTAGTATATCATTTGTTGTGCAATTTGATGATGGAATGTATATTTCCAAAACATTTCTTCAGCCCGATCCGTACCCTAGTTTATGAGGTTGAATAACTTGGTACATCTTTTATCATAAGTCCAGAATAAATGATGATCCATGACGAGAACATGGCTGATATAATGTAGACCAACTTTTCTTTTCTTTTTTGAGGATACTGCCTGGTTAAAGGATATCATCAACACCGTCATACGTTGGGTAATTCATGGTTAAATTATACAAGGATCACCACTATGAGGCATATCTTGAAACATGCTTTTTTTTCAGACAGTTTTAACAATTCTTCCGGAAAAAGTGGGACTCACAGCACAGGACGTCATAACAGCTAATCTTCTAGAAAACATCTCCACCGAAGACTTTGCTTGTACACGTCGTAATTCGAACAATTTGAGTCAATATTCGTCCTTCATTTTTGGTCAGCTGCGCTTATTCTTATTTTATTTGTGCCACAAGAGAAAGCAATTTTTTCATTTTACTTTGATATATCATTTTAAAACATCCCAATTCAGATTCGAAATACTTTTCCTCGTATTTAGCATATTATTAGTGAAAATGAAAAATACATTATTCATCAGTTATCTTCTTTTCTATATATCACATTCCTATGAAATTTCCCATGGATGGTTCTGCGACTTCGGCGAACGATCGGTTATTTCTCGTTTTTCGGAGCTGCCAACTGATGAAAATATTTATTTATTTACCGTGCTAAAGTGGTGTATAGCTACTTACGATGACTTGTGTGTGATATTTCATAAATTTGATTTGCTACAATTCTAGGTCAAACTCAGCTACAGAGACAGCAGCAGATTCAAGAACCAGACAGTATTTCGGATACATCAGTCATTCAGCGGAAGTTTAACACGGTCAATGTAAATCGTACTTGCCTCGAAAGTGTATCACTCATTGTGGTTGCCTCTCTTTTGGACAAAGCCGCAAATTTAGGAGGTACCTTTTGTTTCTAAACTGGATTTCTCCAGATTGCATAAGTATTGATTCCACGAGTTCCCAGCATGTTATAACAGCAATCAGTTGAACCACAGATTCACATATCATTTTTTTTATATCACAATTCAAGTTAATTTTGAATGAATACAAGTATTTTTTCAATAAACAGGTATTTGTCGTACGTGTGAAGTGTTAGGAGTCGAAAAGTTGATTGTCGCAGATCTTTCAAAAATAAAGGATCGCAATTTCATGGCGCTTAGCATGTCATCAGAGAACTGGATGAATTTGGAACAGGTAGAAAATATGCTGCGTTAGACATTCTATTCTGTTTAACAAGAAGAGCATTGGATGTTTTGTTCTACCTAGTAAGTAATAAGTTATGTAGTTGTCTCATTGGTTTTGATTGCAGTCACGTCCGGAAGAGTTGTCGAACCTTTTATTATCCTTCCGTGACTCTGGCTATGTAATTATTGGTGCTGAGCAAACTACAAATAGTACACCACTGCATAAAATTCGTTTGCCGTCAAAAATGGTTCTGTTACTTGGGTAAGATTATTTCATTTTAATTGCACAGGGTAAATTAAATTTGATAAAATTGCGTTAATTTTGCTAGAGTGGACTAATGAAGCTTTGACTTTCAAGTTTCTCTCACCATTAATCCAAACGTGATGATTTATTTGAAATTCAGTAATTATTTAAATTTTTTTTAATAGGCTTGAAGCAAAAATATATTAATTACAGGAACGAAAAAGGAGGAATACCTATGGATTTGCTAGGCTATCTCGACAAAACTGTTGAAGTTGTACAAATTGGCCACACTAGAAGCTTAAATGTGCATGTCACCGGGGCTCTGTTCATTTATCGTTTTTTCGAAGAGTTCATTGCTACGAAAACATAAAATTGAGATTTGTGTTTTAGTCTTCCAATTGTTGAAATTTCGAATCGTTTCCCCTATGTTTTTCTGTGTCGATAGAATTTAATCAATCCAGGAAGCTTGTTTAAACTTCCATTCTTGTATCCAGTTGTACTGTCCCCCTTACTGTCGTATTCAGTTGTGCTTTCCATAGCCTGTATGTCAGGTTAATTCTTCTCCGCCTCCTCATTCTCTGTTACCATTGCCGTTTTAATTATATAACTGCATCAAGTTGAATGTTCTTGTTTATTGTTTTTCCGTTGTATTTTTTGGCTGGTTGTTTTATTGCAGAACGTTTTAACACTCATTTCACTTTACGTGTTACAACTTCCTTCGTTGTTTCTCCTGTTGTTTTCCGCTGTTCTGTGCTCATTCAAAGTGTCTCTTATCTCTTAATGTTCTCAGGTTTTACTAGCTGATGTTTTTTGTTATGAGCAGTTCAAGTTATTAAATAAATTTTTCCGGCATGCGTATATGGAGTAAGTAAGTGTAAAGGTAAAGATACAGCAAATATTTGTTGATGCAGACAACAAATAAATAAGATCCTAATGATTATCTTCTGAATTATTTATATCAGTTTGTTCGGGATTTGGATTGTTGTGTGTCTGACACTTTCTCCAGAATGCAAGAAATTGCTTGAAAGAGTGCTTTATCCACCATTTTCTCGTAAATTTTTTTCAGGTAAGAGCAATGACACTGACCAATATGAGTTTGATTATTCGCCTGTTTACAATGGTGAGGGCAAGTTCCAGTATTCTATTTTGATCTCTTATAACATATTTAGATTTTCATCTTTGTGCTGAGTAGTGAAATTGGCAAAACCTGATCGCTGGAGAGATTTGGTGTTAAAATTCCAAGTTAAAAATTGCTAATATTAACTTTTGTGATGTTGTGCAATCCCTGATGGTAAATGTGATGTCCTCAAAAAGACTATGGGTCTTTTCTATCATTGAGTGCCATTTTTAAGTCTTTAAAATCTCTAATGACTTTTATAGTTGTTGATTGCCTCATCGTTGTTGTTAATTGTTGCGTCCGAAGGGAATTATGTTGTAACAATTAATGACCAAAAAGACTACAAGGTTAGTTAAGTGGTTCGGATTTTTGACTCAAAGTGAAGAAATTTAGATTAGATTTCCCTGTGAAACTAATGTATTTTGGTTTACTGTTTAAATTATAGCCAGTAATTTTTGAATTTACAGATCATTAGGATGCTTTTCACTTTAATAAGTTATAAAGTAACTACTCCATAACATAAGGCATTTTTTTTTGCAGAAATTATTACGAGTGCATAAAAATGTGCTGATACTGTTTTTTAATTCTTCTATGGATAAAAACATCCAACTGAAAAAAGTGGTAAAAACCACCATGGAAGCTGCTAAACAGGCAATGGGACAAGGAACTGTTGCTCAAATCAACTGTAACGATGGTGAAGTAAAGAAGTTATGTAAAAAGCTTAAAATAACCCCAAAACCATACATCCTGAAACATTACCAGTAAGTTGTTTTTGTTGTTACTGAGTGCGAGGGGTTGGAGTGCTTTACGAAACTAGAAAGAAAAGGCAGATGTGCTGGAGCCTTTTTCGTTGTTAGTAACTTAGACATCAAAATGAATTTTGATCTTCCGTCTTTTACATTTCAAGATTTTTAAAAGTTTGAGTAGATACGGACAGAGGAGGAAATGATACATATACGCAGCATGGTTACTGTAGATTGAGTTGTTTGAGTCGGTATTAAATTTGAATTCAAACCTAACATTAATTTGAATGTCAAGTGAAGTATCACTTGCAGGAACGGAGAATTTCACAAAGACTATGATAGGAGAATAAATACAAATAGCATGTATCGTTTCTTGTTAGATCCAGCCGGTGATATACCATGGGATGAAGACCCGACAGCTGTTAATGTCGTTCATCTAGGTGACAGTTCTAGTGATCTTTTGGTTGTTTTAAAAATCATTTTCACATTGGTTTAACTATGGTTTGTAGAAGTGATAACGAAAGATTCCCACAGATGTGTTATATTGGTGGGCATATTCTTGAATTTTCCATTTTTTGCTTATGCGAACTTTCGGGACGTTCATCCTCTTCATGGCCTAACATAAATTTCGGAAATCGGTTTGGATGTTGCGTTAGTATTCTTAGCTTTATTTATCTCACTGTCACATCAATGGAACTTCAGACTTTTATTCGATCGTTAAAATTTTCAGATGACTCTAATGCGCTTCGAAAAACAGTTGGTGGTGGAAAACCTGTACTGATCATGTTTTATGCTCCTTGGTGTAGCTTCTGTAAACGTTTGAAACCTGAATTTAGGTATGAGGTATTCTTTTTTAATTACTGAAAAGCTTCATTTTCGATTTTCAAAAACTCATCAGACAGAGGTTTTTGATTATGCAAGTTTTTTTATTAAATGATGAACAATATCGTTGCAAATATCGTGCAGGAGGCAGAACTACCATTGCACACATATAATTGATGATGTTCCTTGCAGTGCTGCAGCAGATGTATTGAAAGGGAAGGTCGTACTGGCAGGCATGGATTTAACACATCGTGGTAACGAAGTTATTGCAAAACAGTTTAACATTGATGGTTATCCAACACTTGAGTATTTTGAGGGTGGCATGCATAAATTTAGATACAGTGGACAAAATTCAAAGGTAAATGCCAGGAACATTTTTTTGGAATTGTTCGGTCTTGAGATGAATAAATTCAGCGATTGATTTGAGATTTACGCTGACTTATAGCTCATTAGCAGTATTTCAGGATGGCATAATTGAATGGCTTAAAAATCCAGTGGAACAAGCGTCATCTCTCTCTCTTGAAGAGGAAGAAATTTCATGGACTGATGCCATCACCGAAGTGGTTCTTTTAAATGATGACACATTTGATGAATTTATTGCGGAACATCGAAGCGTTCTGGTCCTTATCTATGCTCCTTGTATGCTTATTTCCACTTGAATCAGTCCATGTTAATCAGCACACTTACCAATAATTATTCACTTGTTAAATATTATGAATAGTAGCGTTAGGAATTTTTTTTAATGTATACAAGGAATTTTCTGTCAGCATTACTACTAGCATTACTAGAATTATCAATCCAGTGATATTGATAAAATTGCATACTTAACACCTTCTCAACTGTTATAATTCGGGCGATTAAGCTAAGTTTGATTCTGCTGAAGAACAATTATTAAAATGGAAGGGAATGGCAGTGGTGATGGTTCTCTTACTGTTTTAATTTTATTTTTACGAGTCAGTTTTCCCAAATTTTCTGTTTCCGGGTGCAGCCACTGCAAAATGGTGAAGCCGGAATTCATTCGAGCGGCTCAGCGTTTGAAAAAAGATGGTATTGATGGTGTTTTGGCTACTCTTGATGCTACAACCAATAAGCATGTTTTACTTTTTTTGTCCAGCTACTAGGGAGTATTTTTAACCTAATTAGTGAAAAAAAAATATATTCATTTTGCAAAGATTCACAAAGATTTTTAGATTTTCGTGTAGAAATTTGTTTTTTTTTATCCAGAATAATCGCCGGAAACGCTGTTAAAGTGAGCTGACAAGAACTTTTTACCTGTTTATGGGATCATACTTAGCTTGCTTCATTAATAATGATTGCTTTACCAATTTTTTTTTTTTTCAGGAAGATAGCAGAGCGATACAAAGTGGAAGGATATCCTACTTTTGCATACTTCAAGAACGGAAAGTTTGCGTGGAAAATCAATGAGCGTAGAGAAGATGGTTTTTACAATTTCATGAAAAAGTCTGGGATTTTTTAATTACTCGAGAACCTAGCAACAACTAAAAGAATTCTGCAATTTTTTATATTTTCCAGCTGATAAATGCATTGCACTATGAATTATTATATTGCAGTCCAGTGGAACCCCCTCCTCCCGAACTTCCATGGAGCCAACAGTCTGATGGAAGGAATGTGTTGCATCTAACAGCGAAGAATTTCAAAACTGAACTTAAAAGGAAAAAGCACGCTCTGATAATTTTTTACGCTCCTTGTAAGTTTAAATTGCTTAAACCGATAAATATCGTTTTTAAATGTTTTGTATATGTTTTAGCAGTGTATTTTTGATCAACAGTGGATAAGACTAAGACTAGGTTCTCGTATGACTCATTCCTGAAAAATCTTTGGCGCTTTAAATAATTTCCAAGAGCCTGAAGATTATTCACCTCCATTTTCATGCAGCGAAAGCATACCTGTGTGAGTAATTCATTCATTCGTTTCAAGCAACTACGCGTTGGAAGTTTGCGGTTCCTTTGTTGAATAATTATCCTTCTCAGAGAAAAACGATGGACGGTCATGTCTATCTTGTTTTTACATCCATTGGAGAGGAGCTATACTAATGGGAAGGAATTAGTTGTAATGAAAAATTCGTTTTTTAAGGGTGTGGTTACTGCAAAAGAGCAAAGCCTAAATTTTTCGAAGCTTCTAAAATACTTGCTGCTGATGCACGGGTCGTTTTGGGCGCTGTTGATTGTACGATTGAGAAATCTTTGTGTCAAGAATATAAAATAGAGGTTAGGAGTTATTGATTTCTAGAACGCTAACAGATGTGTACATTTCGATTATTTCTGACCATGGTTGTATTTTCTTTGGTTCAATTTATTTTTTGAGTTGCATATGATGACTTGGTTTTACTTTGGAATAGTAAGTGCTGTCGTGGATAATAGTGAATTGGCCTATACAACCAGTGTGTGTCACACTAAACTAATCCAAAAAGTTTTTGTGAACTGTGAAATCACCGACGTTATCCAAAAAATAGAAAAATAGCATCAAACAAAAATGAGCAGAAGTATGAAGTTAAAGGGCTTCTGGTTTGCCGAATCTGATCCATTACTGATCTTTTTAAAATACTATGTCTTCAGGGATTTCCAACAATCATTTATCTGTCATATGGCAAAAATCGTATCGATTACCTTGGCGAACATGAAACAGCATCATTCATTAGTTTCATAGAAAGTGGTGGACAAATCTCGAAGTAAGTTTCCAACTTTGTCAATGATTTACAGAGTGTATTCGAAATGGGTTTAGTTATTGTGTTTCTGTACTGTTGTGCTGTTGAATTTTTAAAAATTCTATGCGAATTTATTTTATTGGGGCTTTATTGTTTCTTTTTCTTGTGAAAGTAGCGAAAATGTATAGCGAGAAATGTTTATTTTTGAGAATGTGAATGTTATTGTGAATGTCTATTTTGAATGAGAATGTCTATTTTTGGCAAAAATCTGTTTTAGACCCTCTCTTCATGATTAACTGAAGGGAACGGTCATTGTCAAGTTTAATGCCTAATCTCACTGATTTTTTCCTTTTTAGTACTGTGTATAGAATCGAAAAAATATTTTTACCAGTAGTTCTTTGATGTTATGAGCTTTTATTTTCTCACTATGAGTTTTTCCTTGACATCTAAAGCACTTTGGCATTTTTTTTTCTCTGGTAAGATGTGGTTGTTTCCTTTTCAGACCGCAAAGTTTTGCTCCCAAATTTGACTTTGGAAACGCAGTGACAGTTCTGGATGAGAACAATTTCGATAGGATTACGAGTAGTGGAAATGTTTTTGTAATGTTCTTCTCGCCGTGTAGGTTTTTTTTAGTATTAATCCGCTAATAGTATGCGGTGAACAAGTTGGAATCTCAGGGTAGGTATCGGAGAGATTAGTGGGAAGGTAAAGGATAAGCATTTCAGAGTTTAAATATTTTTACAAAAAATTTAATGCTGGTGCAAGCAAAGATCATTTTTCTTTAGAATTTTGTTTGTTTAGGGTGCAGACATTGCGAAACAGTAAAACCAGCATTCCGTGAAGCTGCAGAACAGTCTCACTTTGGCAAATTCGCCGTCGTCGATTGCATTGCTTGGAGTGGTATGTTTTTCCCTTTGTTTTGGTGTTTCCTGATAATATTAAGTGGGAATTTCGGAGTCATTAATTTCTTTGACTTTTCTATTCAAGTAGGTGTAGAGAACCGCCACAAAATATATTGATAATACAGCTAACATAAATTGGTGAAAACATAATGTGTAGTTAATATACTTAAGGAAGAATGCATTGAAACTTCATGGTTAGGACAGGTAGTCTAAATAAAATATATGAGGAAAGTGGCTGAAGTTTTTTGAATCATAAGAATTCTCGGTCGAAATTCCTCAAATTTCAGATCTTTGTGAGAGTCAAAGCGTGAAAGGCTATCCGACTTTCCAGATATTTGTTAACGGTGTTCAGCATGATTATAGTGGTAATCGCACTTCATCCGATTTCACTACTGCTTTTATGAAGGCAGTTGCATCAGCTAAAATTGATTTATAATGTGATAAGTTATATCAAAACACGGTTTGATTGGTATCAGTTAAATGTTTTAGTTGATATCAAATAAATGATTTATTATAAGTTATTAAATCTAAATAACTGCTTCTTTCTGGTTGTTTGATTTCAATCATTTGTCTTATAATCATTTCATATGATTTTTATTATAGCGCAATAAGCATATCCATTATATGGATATGCTTTACTTCCTAGTCCATCATGTATTTTATTTATTTACATTTTTATGCAGAGTACAGTTAGGGTGGGGGATCAGCCGAGGAGCTATTGCGAAAAATAGTAAAATGATCATACAAAGTTCATTACTTTCTTTTGTTGGCAGTGAAATTAATTTTTGCGAATGTATACAGTTACGTTAAGTAATCGTTTATTTGCATCGTTTCATTTGTTTTTATAGCATTTCTTGCTCAATTCTAATCTTTACTCGTAATTCTTAGGCACTTATTATTGAAACATCCTATGTAGTTTGTTGATTTAACTTTCGTCAATTCAGCGAATGCGATAAGATCGCATTAAATTATTTTTTATGAATTGTTTTTCTTTTTATAAATTATTTTTTATGAATCTTTTATAAATTATTTTTTTATAAATCACTTTTTTTTAAAATCATTTTTTATTTTTTTGATAATTTATTAAATTATTTTTTTCACATTGCAAATTCAGGTGGATTGAACTGTCCCCTGATGCATCATTCTTAATTACTGTCCGATTTCTCGTGAAGTAATTGTCCAAGACAAAAAAAGAACGGCATGGTAGAGGATGTATGCAAAAACAAAGGAGGAAAATGATTTTTGTGGTAAACATCGAGAGTCTGGTGACAAAATGAGGTGGACGGGAAAGTGAATGAGCTTCTTATAATACGATTTGTGATACCTTTCCCATGAGAAATGGTGCAAATTTTTGCGAGAAATGTTTGTCGGCTTGATGAAAAGCCAAGAGGAGTGGTAAATAGTATATGTTCGGAAATTAATTGCTGGCATGTAATCCTGAAGTTATTTCTAGACATGCAACTTTATGTGTTGTAATGCCGATGATGAGGCATTCGAAATTATCTAGTCACTTTTTCTGTACTTTACGCGTCTTTTAGAACGCCAATACTCTAAAGCTAATGTCTTTATCACGAATCCCAGGAAAGTATTATTGAATCCCTTCGATATAATTTTTTCAAAATTAGTTACAATCCAGAAGGTCACGAGCCCTTAGTAATGCTAGTCACCTATATTCCAACTTATGTATGCATAACTACGTGGATGTTGTATCAAATGAAATGAATTTTATGCGATGCTTCTAGTTTGAAACATATCAACATATCTGAGATCGTGTGAAAGCATTACCTGAAGGTGTTATAGAAACCGATGGTGTAATTTGCTTCACTTTATAACTCGTCGATTCTAACGTGGAATAAGGTTTTTTTAGATCAAATTAAAAGTATTTAGAACACCGAATCTTCACCTAAATTTGTATTCTGTTGACAAGTCACTCACAAATTCTTTACCCACCACTGTTGCTTTCATTGAGATCATTCAGATGCGTAAATCGTTATCGGAGCTACAACAGAGGTCCTTCGTCTCCATACCCTTGGAGAATACGTCCCCATCTATCATAAATCGTGTGTCCTATTCCGATAAACCTGTCTTAGAATATCCGGAATATGCCTCTGAAATGCTGCTTGGGTGATGTCAATATCTAATGGCTTAACTCGGTAGAGGTAGATGTGATGGATTCACAACTGAAAAGAAATGATTTACTGTTGTTTTGTTGAGCTTTAAAATACACATAAATTCATTACCTTGATTTATATGTTCGCTTATTTTGAAGTTATTTCAACACGTAACGACTCTCATAAGAATTTTTTTCTTAAAAGCAACGAACTCATAAACACAGAATTTACAATGCACAGGACTGACTATTCATTACATTTCATTATATACATATAAAACTCCACATAACATTACAGAAATTTTTTTGCATGTACAGTTAAAATGAAGAAAGAAATAAACTCTTGTAGAGATCATAAGGTTTGCGTGTAAACCGAATGTATTGTGAATCCTTCCACATCCCATTACTGGGGAAGACTCGATGCCACCAATCCAGGTTCGCTATTTTGCAAAACAGCTGTTGCTGCAGCACACGCGAAGTACAACAGTTTGTCTACCTGACATTTTCGAAATTAATTTTTAGAGACTGTCAGTTTGAAGAAAACGAAACGTGTGGATTTGTGCAGTCTCCAATGTTCTAACGAAAGAGCTTCCTGCGAAGGTTTTTGGGAAAAAAAAAAGAAATTCTCACAAATGTCCAAAGAAACAGAAAATGAAAATACGGAGTCAGCTACCTGCACAAGATCATCTTTGGTTCGCAGAATTCGCAACTCGTTAGTGATTGCTACTGTAAAATCAATGCCTTCTGCAGCAACAAAATCCTCAGCAATCTTTAAAAATAATTATGTTCAAGGATCTTCAGTGATTTAAGCATAGCAAAGCATCACCAAAAATAAGACAAAAGATTAGAAAATACACCTTGACGCATGAATTGATATTCTGAACTTGATGGGCTGCCCCGGAAGGTATAAACACAACGTCACCTTCATTCTGCACAAATATACGGCATTCAATTCCTACAGCAAAATTCTGACATTGTTAATTAATATGAACTGACTCAACAGAAAGAATTCCCCATTTTAAAAATATCCAGAAAATAAAATAACATATAAAAGTGACAATTAGGAAGTTGAAATATACCTCTTTCTTCGAAAAAATCCATCATTTCACGCGTCACCACTACGTCCTGGTTATGAATAACATCACCTTCCCATTCTTCCCCCTAAACAGGAATTACGTGATATTTATACCATTATCAGAGCATGTGAATGCCATTCTGAATTGCATCCAAATTCAAATTGACGAAATTTCGAAATAATCGCACTTTCATTTCTTTCCATTCCTCAATGGCAGCACGGATTCTTGTATTATCACTTGGATGAAATATTTTCCAGATCGCACCAGCCTTTTCCGGTTCACGAAGAGCACGTTCCTTGTGATACCCACGAATACCCTCTGCATCCAGGCGTTGTTCAACAGCTAAAATAGTCTAACTTCCAGATTACCTCGTGTTATCAAAAATGATATCAATGAGAAACTATACGTAGAGCCGATTCTAATATTTTAATACCTGTCAAAGGTTAAGTAAGGGAATTTCTTTAGTTCGCCAACATTCAAAAAGACAAAAAAAACCTACCATCTCTCACTTCCTCTCTTGACATTTCATCCGGCGCTTTAACAAATGGCAAGAAATTCACTGCATCAGATACATCCAGATGCAGTGGAGTAGAGGCCAAATGTGGAGCATTATATAATCCTACAAAAATGATCACAATATTTTTCACAAGCAGATTGAAACACCGTCTTGGTTAGCGATAAGGTCATGAACAGGTGGGAATCCATAAGGGATTCAGAGGAAAACATTTCAAAAAAGAGAGAGATAAAACTTACCGAAGCAAATATAGACTTTCGGTCCTGGATCTGGTCGCTCACGTTTGTTATTAAGTAAGTTCAGTAAGTTCAGTCTACCACGGCCACTTTCTTCGCGATTAATATGTGTGTAATCCAGGAAGGGCATGATCTCATATAAATTTACATACTGTTCAGGAGCAATATTAGAAAACAATTTTGACTCTGGAAAATCCTTTATCTGAAAAACAAAATTTAGGATATCAGGAATGCAAATAAATTGTAGAAACATGAAATGAATGCCATGATAAATTTGGATTGTTTTCGACAGGGATAGACCATGACCAAGTTTGTAAGTTCCTCTAACAGTTTAAACCCTAGCTTTTAACAGTCTCACTTTCATATAACAGTCATTGACGGTTCGTTTTAATCCAAATTTCGACCAGAACATCTTCAGCGAGCACGGTTTGTCGCGAACTATTACAGGGGAAAAGTTCTGACTATTCAGAACACGTAAATTTCGATCACCTGCAAAGCTTTTGAAACTGATATGACCAGAAGTGAATTTTGAGACTCAATAAATGAATTCCAATAAATGCGAGAAAAACAACTAAATGGATGAATAGGCGTCCAACATCGTATTTCCAATATCCGAACCGTTAATTCACCAAAAGAAACAAGTTTTTCGGCATTAAATGATAACAAGTTATTATAAAAATGTTTCCAATAATAGTTTTCAATAACAGAAAAATTTAAAGAAATTTTTGAACAGGAAAGTAAAACTAACAAGCCAAAATTTTTTCAAAGGCTTCTTGCGTCCACAATGATCGACGGTAACGAGGATGACGATTCACGTTCTCGACTATAACGGGATTGTGTGCAGTTAAGTGAGCTTTAAAACGGGCGTACGCATCTCGTGAAAACTACAATTACACATATCGAAAAAGAAATTCAAAAATTCAACACTGATATTTCAGGAAGCTGAAACAATAACACTATCCATAACTTTGAAATAAAAGCTCAGGTGTGGAGAAAAACAGAAATAACGACAGCAGAAATGCTAGAAAATCCTTGCCTGGTCCTCAATAACGCAAATTGTTTCGATTGGAAATTTCGAAAGAGGAGAAAAGCGAGGACAATAGCACTTTTCCTAAAGGGAACATCAGAATTAATATTTAAACCGAATACAGTTCATAGCTGAAAGGACTTGCTAATATAAAAAGCATAAATTCGAAAGAATCCTGTTCAATGTAGGCCTAGTAATCGATATAAAATATGAAAAGAAAATCAAAAATTATAGAAAAGAGAAGCTAGTAAACGTCCCTTTACGAATACGTCAACCCAACAAGTATTTTTGTATTTATATACACGAGCTCAGTAGTATTTGATAGATCATGGACAAGTACAACGGTAATACAAAAATATTTACTGAGCTCCTGTAGTTCATGTATTCTCCAATGCAGGAAATACATAAGCGAAGTTAGAGTAAAGGAAAGGAGATGATAAAACTTGAAGAGCTCCTTACTAACCTCTTGGAACAATTTTACATTATATCCTCGGCCATGATTACCGTTACATAAAGCACCATCCTTCTTGATACCGTATCGCACAAACTGTTCCATCGATCGACAAAGTGTATCACGAAAAATGTCTTGAATACGCAAATTATAAAGCAAAAATTCAAACAAGGATTTATTTGGTGCAAAATATCAGCCACGAAATCAGGCTAAATCACCACTAACAATTTCATATATTTCCATTAACCGAATTTCTACCCAAAATTACTCGAGAATTAAGAGAGAAAAATGATACCGAATGAAGGCAGAAAAGATCCCAGGTGAAACATGGTAGCATCATGAGTGTGACTATTTGTACAAGGAAGTGATTCTAACCAATCCGGAGAGTAAGAATCTGAAAACATTCGTTTCTTTGTTTTGTAGTCGAAGACAGCTGATAAGTTCGAGGATGACAGAGATTGCAAAGAATTTTAAAAAAAAAAGCACAAAAGGAGGAAAACAAGGACTGAGTTTATTAAATCATGAAATGTATTTGAACTAAAAAAAATAAAATTAATCCCTTGACCAAGGATCCCCATTTTTTACTTGAGTCACAATTCCGATAGAGAGATGTATAGTGAAGGGACTTATGCTAACTTTACAAATCTTCCATACAAAAAATTGAAATGAAAATGATAAGAAATTAATGGCTAGATGTTGACATATTCCGATTCACTTATATTTCTAATGAGAAAGGCACAGCTTCTAAATAAATATAAATGCATTAATGCAGAATCAATGAAAACAGGTTCATTTCAACGTTTGTTTTCTAGTGGAATATTCTTGCACAATACATTTCGAAATATCCAAGACTGTTTAAACAATTTATATTCTCGTGACTTATTCGTTAACTACAATCGTATGTCAGCTATATTTTCTCCACTTTTCTCCATATTCCAGTCACTTACATAAAACGGCCCTTCTCCGTTTTTGTATCATCCAATAAATACCCTTTTTCTTTCAGTTTTTTTATGTGAAGACTGGTTTGAATGCATTTCGCGGTTGAGAACGCCGAATTATCCCTTATTTTTTCCCATGATTCCATGCAATTTCTTCATAAACCATCATACCCTTTCCGCATCTTTTGATAACATTTTACTTCACTATATGGATAATAAGTGCGTATAGCCAATATCTGTGCACAGCAATGTCAAGTAGGCTAATTTTGCTGTATTAGTCGCCTTCCATTATGACCTAACAAATTCTTCGCATACAGTTACGACCAAAAAAAAAATTTTGCGTGATTAGCTACCCTAACTTCGTTACGCTTAAATTCGAACGATCATTTATACCATAAAGAATTTTTCTTTCCGAAGTGATGTTTGACAAATCAAATGGCAAGCTTGATACATGATCCTACCCTTACAACCATTACATCTAACTCATATGCGAACAAATGACGCACACAAATCAATGTCGTATTTTTGGCCGTAAATGCCAACATAAAAGGTTATTTTAGAACATTGGTCACGTATTTTCAACCGCCTCTTCTAAGCAGCTGAGACCATGTTACTAAAGCTACATGGGTTGTTATGCTGGAAGCTTTACAACTTATTTTTAACCAATCTGTCCCTTAATCGCTTTCGCAAAAGTTGCACTCACCTTTTCAACATGAATTATGGTTTAATTTACGTTTTTTTTCTGTCATATATATTTACATATTTCAGTCCACTACCAATCCTAAAGCGCAAGTTCAGCTAAAACGCCAGTACCAATTGCAGAGTATTACTCCCCCACTCCTTCAGTTTCCTAGCACGAAATTAATACTGAATAAAAAACTGTAATACCAGATTTTCGGACCACTTACATGAGGATTCGCAGAAATATCTGCATCTCAGTCGTTACATCATTTTTCATTGATCTATTGTTAAATATTTTTTGTTGTCATATATATTTAAATATTTCAGTCCACTGTTAATCCTGAAGCTCAGGATCAGCTAAAACGTTAGTGTCAGTCCAAAATATTACCACCCACTACATTTAATTAATATATGGTCAATAGAACTGCTTAGCAGAGTTACACTAGTCTACAGTTTAACCAACCATATTAAACTGGTGCTTAATGTCGAAACGTTTATTTTGCAATAAACAAATTGGTCATACATATAACACCAACTATCACGTTGATAATATATGGATTTTGATAAACTAAATGAATTGTTAAAATATATACTTAAAGAAATGTACCTATTGGAAAAATATTTAAATATGTCTACATTAATTAAGAGAAGTCTCTTTTATAAGAAATTTTATGCAACTTTATTTGTGTAGAATTCAGTGGTGTGTGAGCTTTGCTTGCCATAAACAGCTGGAATTCTGTTCAAAACTGAATTATGATAAAAAAAAACAGAACAAAAAAATACAACAAATAATAATGGACATACCTCTTCCATTCAATTCTTTATAGCACATTATGCACAGTTCCAACCCACAAATTTTACAGCAAAAATGAGCATTTAGGATTGCAAATTGACACACGTCACATACTTGTTTTGCACCAAACGTATGACTGTAGTATACTTCTCCCTCTACAATGAAATGTCATATAATGAAATGGCTTAGCACCATCAATGAAATATGACTCGAACATGTCATAGCGGCAACTCGTTAGCTCGAGCCTGATAACATCGAAGTACTAGAAGCTTCAAAAAATCTAAAAACATATCATTACGTGTTGACTGGCTTAAGAATTAAGCTGCTTAAACTATTGACATTCTATGCCAAAAATGTTTAAACATAATATTTTGACGGCTAACATCTTCATTTCCTTTTGAAAAGTGATGTACAGCCGTGGTTGACATCCTCATCAAACGAAGATGGGTTGCGCTAGTTAACTGTCAGTCTTAACAACTAAAATAGGCGAAAAATTTGCTGAATCTTCCCATGCTCTAACTCAAAAACCCTCAAATGCATGAACAAAATTCAGCGTATCCGGAATTAGTAATGCTGTCAACTAATTTTAATAAGTTCGAAATGTCGTCTATAACATGAAGTATAATGTGTACTGTGATAAGTTACAACTACTAGATGAGAATCATTACATCTTTGACTTATTACTTGAAACATTTGAAACGAAAAAAAAATGGGTAAACCTACCACAGAAGCCTGACACAGCTTCTTCTTCACGATGTACCACCTTCTCGTAATTTGAATATACACACTGCAGAACATACGCAGCCATTTGAGCCGCTTCTGCCTTTTCCTTTGGTCTGGCTGAAGAAATTTTTCGTCTTTCCCTTTATTAATTCGCAAGGACGAGAGAACAAAAAAGTAATGAAATCATATATGGCCAGTAGCTGAGGATGACTATCTCGCTGATCTTCATATACTCGAAAAGGTCCTAAATCTCTTTTCTCTTTTAGAGAGTATACATAATGATCAAACCAGTAGTGAACTTTTTGGTAATAAACTGTTCCACGCGAACGTTTGTTTCACTCAGCAGAAACGATGACTTAATTTTTTCGACATCTTTAATCAAAAGGCGACGGCACAATTTGGGGTTGTTACGATCACGTCTGAAAATGACGACAGAAAGCTTCCCTGTTTGTCCAAAGAAATACTTTGCATACAAAAAGCTTTTCAAGACAAATAAGGCAACTAAGTGTCGTATTTTTTCTCATTTCAATTGGGCTATGCAGTAGTACCTGTAGTAAAACAGGTATGGGAGAAAATGGACTTAGTGAGGAATACAACAATGCAAGAGTCATTTTCATAAATTGGCAGAAAAATCTTACAACATGCGATTGTAGAAACGACAATCCATGGCCCTTTTTTTATTCGGTACAGTGGCGCAAACTATGCAAGGGTCATACGAAGAAATTGCGCATGGCTCTTCCTAGAAGATACTTATCAAACCTTATAACAAGGAAAAATAAACTTCTTCAGTTTCAAAAGCTAGGTTTTTTTCATAAAAATTTAAGCTCTCTGTTATTCCAATATTATGTCAATTCCTTTCTTGAAAATATTATAATTGAGAATGGTATATTTTTGCTTCAATACTATTTCTCGCTCAATTAGAATCCCATCACAAAATTATTTGCTACAAATATGCAAATATACGAAACAATTCCTACTACCTGCAAACGCCAGTTCACCAGGTTACAGGATTTTTCTACCTTTTCTCGAAAATGCTTGTATTTTTTGGGCTCACTGTAGTGATCAGATGGCACAATTTCGATCTTCGCACTATTATCTGGAATGAATAATACTGATGTATACTAGAAAATACACAGAAAAATCCTCAACGTCTGAAAACAGTATTTCGGGAAAGTGGGATTCTGAAGAACTGGAATATCGCTATTTGTTTGGGAAAATAAAGCAAGAAAGAATGTGTAAACAGAAAATAAAAACAAAAAATAATAAACTGCTTTCAGTACTGGTTAAATATTCACCTGAAATGTTTTTCACGAGAGTTTTTTCCTTCAAATTCTGACCACCACGACGTAATCCTAAACAAGCTTGTCAGTAATAACATTAAAGAATTCGTCAAAGCTGGTCCACAACTTTTATATGCATCTCCCACCCATCCCGACCTCTTCAGCTACCTTCTTCATAAAGAGTTAGTTGCTTCATAAAGATTTTCACAGTTCTAAAAAATTAAAATTAAACTTGTCCAATCAAAAGTTTATTGAACTGATTTCAGCTTGTACTAAAAAAAAAACTAACTGTGTGGCATGATAACACGCTGTCCAATGATTTCTCCGTATGTATCGCCTTCATCGCACACTGCTTGATTTCCACCATCATCTTTGCAATCTGTTTCAGCAGTGGATGAATCGGCTTCAACACGATCCGCTGCAGTTCTTGGTCGTTTGTGCAATAATGCCGCATCTGATTGCATATCTAAAAACTGATGAACTGGAAACTCATAAGCTATCCAAGGGCAACATACCATGGTGCGCAAGCGATAAAAGCCAGGTGGTGTTGAACAACTTTGTAGAATATTTGATCCCCAGAGTTCAGGAAGGAAGTCAACAAAAGAATACCGTCCACTGATTTGGTTGAAGTCAGCAAACTAGGTAGCAGGCTTACGAAATGGGGTGGTATTACGTTCGACTTGGTAATTCGTTTTCATGAATCGGAAGATGAACTATTCCAAACATTATGCGAATTCCGTAACTTTGATGCAGTTACGTAGGAATCCAACGGAAGCACCATATGAAAGAAAACAATTATGACTTACTCCAATTATCACTCGATCCTCCTCCCAGCAATGCATTATTTTCCCCAGAATTCCTGGAAAATAATAAAAATAAGAGAAGGAACAGGAAATTTTCGCAACCATCAATAGAGCCTCTGGGTATGTGTTCATCAGTTCAATTCCATGTTATGCTTACAGAAAACTTCGAAAAACTAAGTCTACAGTATTTCCAAATTCTTGGCATGGAGATTGCCGTGTTCCTATAGTATGGAAAAGAATCGAAAAAAACATACGTTGTAAAATGTCCAGAATGACGCTTATCAACAGCAGCCATTGCCCGAGCCTATGATCAATCAATAATTCAACTTTAAAAAATCACAGTCATCAAAATAATGGGAATATAGAATGTTCCAAATCAATACTCTCATCTTCCGAATAGTGCCATGCATAGCTTAATACGCACCTGGATTTTACGCTACCCCCATCAGTTCACCGGTGTGGTGGCAGAAATATCATAGAAACGACGGAGTATGATTGAGCAATACTTGAAAAAAAAAGGAAAATAGGAGTTTGAAAGTACTGCAGGGTGGTGAGGAATGAATATGAACAGAAAATATGTAAAACAAGACAAGAATTTCAGAACAATAGATATTCCTGAATATATGCTTCTACATTCCGACGCTCGAATTGGTTTTGAAGTTGCCAGACAGAGTAATATACGGTTCGGCCCACCAGCCAACGGTGGTGGTACGATGTAAACAGTAAACTGTTTGCAATGGTTTGTTTATGTGAAAAGTCAAAGGGAGGTATGGAATGGCAGATTCAGAATTGGTTTCAAAGAAAAGAAAGTGGACAGGAGAGTGGAAAAAAGATGAATGTTAAGGAAATCAAACCATTTACATTCTTTGAAATGTCTGAAATTGAAGTATGGACGGTGACAGTTCCTTAAATGTTACTAAGCACCAAGGGATAACTTTGATATTGTAGACTTGTAATACCATGGAGAATACATCAAAATTGTCTATCCTACTCTTAAAAGTAAAGTGGTTTTCCTAGAGCATTGATGTATTTTAGTAACGGATTGACACACTAGTTAAATGCAGATTGATTCATCCCAGCACTGCTATGGTATGGATCCATCATGTATTGGCAATTTTCGAAAAGATCTACGATGCTGATCGTTAAAATCCAGTCCGCATAACCATTTATAGGTCAGGTTTTTGAGCAAGCCACCTAATCCTCCAGCTAATATTTAGATAAGTTTTTCCTAGTTGAAGAACATACCAGAACTTCCGATTGACCTGATACTAAAACGAAGTTTAAAGCACTCCCATCTTTAAATTCAACCCATCAAACTATTTGGGAATTTTTTGGATTGGAATTTATATCTCAAGCCAAGAAAGTAGCCTTAACCGACGAAGACTAGACGATCAAGTCCTACTTGATAACAGAACCAATAAGTGAATAAAACAGATTGATGGTGGGTATAGTTAGTGCCCTTCTGGAGGTGCCGGAACCAGCATAAGATCATGCTACGTTGAATAACAGTACTGTTCTTACGGATTTATTTGTTCTACCGATCGAAATAAAATACCAAGCTTTTTCTAACTTTTTTTTCCAACTTTTTCGAAATGTTTTAAAGATCACTTCAAACCATCACGAACATAAAAAGCAGCCATCTAATAAGTATCGTTGGCAGAACGAATGGGCTAATTTTATGAAAAATCAGTAAATAAGAAAGGAGAAAGCTGAGAGAACGTAAAAAATAGTAATTCAAATTTTTAATTAATTTGACGGGTAAGTATGAAGGGAGCCATCTATAGTGTCAGATTGTCCGGGGTTTTTTTTGTACTGAGGTCTTGTCCGAAATTCTAAGATATTGCCCAGGTTTTACCTGAAATTCTATCTATAATTTCACATCTATCCGAGTTCTTTTCCAGGAGATTTCGCTTAGGATTTCATTTAACATTTTATTCGAGATTTTATTACGTCCGAAATTTTGTCTGGGTTATTGTTTGTCTGAGATTTTGTGCGAAATTCCATCTCCGATTTCATTCCATAATTTAATCGAGGTTTTATTTGAGACTTTGCAACGAAATTTACTTGAGACTTCTGGACAAGCTAACGAGCTATTTCTTCATTTCGTGCTTGAATACCTCATTCAAGTGTTACGAAACACCTCGAAAAGATCAAAAAACACACCCGTCCCATACATAATCGCACCCGCAGCATACCGTACTATAAATCCAAACCGCCTCCAATGAATTCAAAACACTCTAAATGATGTACCGATAAGTTTCATCTGCATTTATACATTTCTCCGCATTTACCTATCTTACCGCTGTGCAACTAAAGCTTGCTCTCATGCTGCTTTTACTTTGTAAGCAATGAAAAGCGTGGTTGTATTTCGCGTTTATCCGTGTCTGACGTGTATCTTCGCGTCATTTACATTACTTAGGCGTGCGTCAAAACAAATACTTTCCATTTACGGTCCAGACGTAGCAATCGCAGAATGAACACGCAACTCGCTGCACCCAACCTGACTAAGAAGATGCTAGAAGAATAGCTTCCCTCCCTCCACCCACTCTCATTTCGTCAGCCATTGCCTTGCTCTCGTCTCTTTTCCCGCCCATTAAGATTTGAAAATGGATGATGCAAATGTCACGTACGTAATCATTTCATTCTGTGATCATCGAGTATGACGTTTCTTTTTCATTTTTTGTCTCTGTTTCATCTGGAATTTTATCCCGAAAACAAACGCATTACCGATTCTGATCTAGGGTTTGAGGAAAACTGCCTGTATACGGTATAGAATGAGCGCTCCTCTGCTATGTCCTACTGTAGTCTAAGAATTTGCTAACAATCGGTTACGCAGTATGCGATACGATGATACATGTATATGGTGGTATGGTATTATGGTCGTATAACTGTTTAGGTATTTTAGGCCATTTAATCGGATTTCATGTGTCACTTTCCAGGAAATGTGTAATATTCTTCAGATTATCATGCCAGTATGGCCTTCTAGATGCATAAGGATCCGTTCAAATTGTCTGTCTTTGCACAATTCGTATTTGATATTCGATAGTTTTATTAATTCATTAAACAAAATTATGATACTTAGGTAGGAATACATTTTCCTTCTAAATGGTTATCACCAATTATCTGAAAACACCGATACATTACATGAATAATACCGCATAAAATGGATTCAACGAGCTAATCAGCTGATTCGACATTTATGACAGCTTGAGAAACTGATCTTATTGTTTGCGACACACTGAGAACTAATTATATTTACGATAAAATGGGAAGGGAGCTGAAAATCAGGATTTTTAAGTATGTTTACACGAAAAATAGTAATTTAAATGAAGTGGACTGTGGTGGAGATGCGTTAGTATTCTTCCCAATAAAGATGAAGTATTTCAAAATCGGAAATCCTTTCAATCATTTTTTTTTTTGCTGAAAAAATCATATATATTGAATCTCGACATGCAAATTTGTTGGGATAGCAATCAGCCATGCTTGCGACTTCAGGTGATATCGATTGCCCCACCCTCTCCCCTCCTCCTCTCCGGTTTTTCGTGTGATGCAAGCTTCAATGTTGGTAGTTCTAGTTCCAGGACTAGATAGTCGTTCTAAATTGGATTTAATCGAAATCTTGAGTGACTACTGCGGTTGTAGAAGGAATGACTGTAACATATCGTAGACATCAAATGGTCATTGGTGGATAGGATTCACTGTGGACTATTTATACGATAACTGCCTGAAATCACGATGAGAAACGATGTTAGCAAATAGTGGGATGAAATAGGAATGAATTTATGTCGGTAAGGTTAACTGAAGTGATGGGAAGGATTAGTGAGCAAGCTTGGAAATCATAAAACTTTTGGTTCAGCCAGAATCGTCCCGCAGAATTGGAGAGACGGACTTGTAAGTATAAACTTTAATAATTTATTCTTGAGGATGGATTATCATCAATATTCATATATGTTTATCTAGCAAAAAAAAGGAAGAAAATTGAAATTTCATTTGGTTAGCAAGGATGTCCACCAAGTATTTAACTTAACAATTATGAATCTACACCAGTTAGGTAGCCTAGACATGAAAACTTTTGTTTCATTTGTCAAGTTAGTCTCCTGGGTTCTTGGGTTGGGTTTTCTCGGAGCATGACAGAAGGATTATTGTGTAAACTTGTAGCAAATGAAGAATGAATTTGTGGTAGGCGGTCAGAAACATACACGTGAAAACAAATGATTTCTGTTCTTTGATTATACTTCAAAAACTTTTAATTGCTTCCTTTGCATATTACAGTTTGGAATGGCTTTAACGCTACAGGGTGCTTGGAACAGTTATTACCTTAAAGTTTGCAACATTGGTCAAGGTATATTGAAGTTTAGTTTATAACATTAAAAAAGCATTTTTAATCCATAATGACTCAAGATTTCGAAAATCAGTCTCTTTCTAAATATTTAGGGGTGTATGGTGCTGAGTACAGTGTTGTCGATGAAAGTGCAGGAAAGCAGGTTGCAGTCAAAAAAATCCAGATGAATTCAGCCGGTGTATCATCTTCACTGATACGAGAAATCACGCTGCTTAAATTTCTACAACATCCAAACATCGTTACGTATGTTTTCTTTTCTTTTTTTTTGTCACAGTGTGCTGATTAGTAAGTAACATATAAGAAGTTCAAGTGGGACGTCCTACTACGCCACAGCGTTGGCAACAGCGTTGTTGTAGGATTTTTTCTTTATATCAGGAAGTCAGTTTTGAGATTTGGCCGGTAATATTAGATGGGATCAATGAACAAGTAAAGGGAACTAAATTCAGCAGTGAAGGTTTCGGATGACTCATGCACTGCCATATCCGGCGCGCAACTAAAGAATATTGTATTTAACTGAATCTTTTTCTGTACATTATTTGTAGTTACGAAAATTCCGAAATTGCAGTAAAAAATGGGCATGGATAATTTTCACCGCTTATCAAATATATAAAGTCTGAAGTTTTCTTAATCTGAAATTAAATAAGTGTTTGTGACTTAATAACGCTGATATATAATTATAGCTTTGGTTATTCAGCTAACAGTGATTGAATTGAGATTAATTGCAGCCTTGAAGACGTAATAATAGGCGACGATCAATTATATCTGGTATTTGAATTTTTTAATATGAATCTGAAAACTTACATCTGCAAAATTCCTGATGACAACTGGATGGATAGAGCTGCGGTAAGTGCGGCTCCTTTGCTACCGATTCTTCGTCGTCTTTTTGAAGACAGACGGAAACAATTCATGTGTGATTGAGATTCGGTTTAATTCATTTATTTAATATTGAAACTATAAGTCAGGAAGAATTGCGAGTTTGATTAATTACAGCAAAAGTTGTATTTGTACCAGATTCTCCAAGCTATCTGTTACTGTCACCAGAAGAACATTCTGCATTGTGATTTAAGGCCTGAGAATTTGCTTCTTAACCAGAACGGCCTCCTTAAGCTTGCTGAGTTCCGTTTTGGTGAAGCAGCAGTTAACACGACAGAGATGCATTGTGCGCAGGAGGTTATTTTTCCATTTTCCGCTTTCTTGTTTTCAATGTTCCAAAAATCATCAAGTTGAAGACTCGTTCTTACACTGAAAAGTATATGTTTGGATATCGTTTTAGGATTCTACTCAGTTTTATAAAGCTCCGGAATTACTGTTTGGTTGGACCCGTTACACATCGGCAGTAGACATATGGAGCATCGGATGCATTACTGCTGAAATGGCTATGAAGGAAACCCTATTTCCTCTGGGTGATTCGAATATTGATCAAATTTTTCGTATTTTCAGGTTTGCTTAGTGTTTATTATATTTTTGTCTTTATATTTATCATACTATCTCTTATAAAAGCGCTTTCAGTGTGCTGTCGACTCCGTGTGAAGAAATATTGCATGTTTTTACGAATGTGCCGAACTGTTCGAAAACATTCCCTAACTGGAAAAATAACCATCTTCATGAAATTCTTAATGGCTTTATGGATGCTAATGGCATTATGATCGTGCAGGTTACGATTTTTACATTTAAAAATTTTCAATCAAAGGAGGCCACTTTTAACCTTATATTCTTCATTATAATTTCTAGGGTGCTCATTACTTCATTTTATTTTTGCACATTTTTTTGCAGAAAATGCTTACTTATGAGCCGGAGAAACGAATCTCTGCAGAGGTGCTCTTGAAAGATTCATACTTTGCTGATATTGATCGAACGAAGCTTCCAATTAGCGATTATTGATAAAACTTTAGTATTGCCATCAGATCGGTATCAATCGTTTTTCATTTTGCATCTGTTAAAATGGTTATTTCTATTTCATTTTCTTCCTTGTACCCCAAAACTAAATTGTATTGTGGCTTGAGAGAAGAAATCCAATTTAAGGTTTTTTTTTCCCGATTTGGGTCTCTGGAATATAAGAGATGCGTTCCTATGAACTCTGACTGCAAAAAAAGTTTGAATTTGTTTCTTTTCCTTCGGATATATATATTTTTTGTGCTCCACTGTTAAGCAAAAAAAACTGTTATGTAGAATGAAATTATTTGATCTTTTCCCTTTTGGCAATATCATTCACTAAATATTGGTAAGTGTTCGTTTCACATATGGACATTTAGTAGCCAAATTTCCTTGATAGATCAATATATGACACTGTATAAGACAGTTCTATATTACACATATTCGAAGTGCTTGTTTTTTCATTTTTTTTGTTTGTTTTTTGAAATATAGATTCAGGAATGGATGAGTTTCGCAAAATGACATGAAAACATTTACATTTTCCCACTTATCCTATGAAAATGTAAATGTTCATTTGTTCAAAATCTTAAATTTCCGAAAGTTCTCAACCGATTGCTTTGAAATTTTGGCACAACATTGCATTCGAATACGCGCTTGTTTCTATCCACCCACTTTTTTTTTGCCGGTTGGTCTGACCTCAGGACAAATTTAATTGCCTCATAACTTCTGCGATTTGGTGATGTCAAACGAAGAATTGCTTAAAAAAGCATTTACCAATATTCAAAGCAAGTATGGGAATCACGACTGGCTGAGTGAACGAACTATCTTTGCGACCAAAAATACGTTTACGAACTCAGCAATATTACTCATTCTAGTATTTAAGGTGAGGCAATCACGTACAAGTCCATCCGCACTGTTGTGGAAGCAGATGAAGTGGCGGTTATTCAACAATTTTTAAATTCATTCGAGCTGGCGGGATCCCGCCGCACATATTGTAATTGGAAATCGGCGTGCCAATTATCACGTTGCGAAATATCAATCAGCCAGAACTTTATAGCGGCATGCGGCTTGCGGTAAAAAAATTAATGAGCAACGTCATAGAAGCAACAATCTTGATAAGACCTTTCAAAGATGAAGATGTCCTCATTCTTCGCATTCCTATGATTCCAACAGATATGCTATTTCAATTTTAGAGATTGCAATTCCCAATTCGATTAGTGTTTGCAATCATCATCAACAAAGCTTAAGGCCAATCTTTAGAATTGTGCGATTTAGATCTAAACACGGATTGCTTTTCACATGGATAATTATGTGTCGCGTGTTCCATAGTCGGCAAAACAGACAGTCTCTATATCTGCGCAGATAAATGGAACAACAACAAATATTGTACACCTATAAACATTGTGAAATTAAACGTATTAGAAATGTGCATTTTCGCTTTTTTGTTTATCTTCCATTTAATCACACTGAGTCATAGCAAAGTGTGGCCGGATATAGCTAGTCATAAATAATGCCGGAAACATATATTTGGATGAAGTATTGGACACAAGTAACGAAACTGTTTCAACAGAGACCGATGAAACTTGCAAATCATTGTTACAGAGAAGGAATATGTAAATCTGTCTATTCATCTTTGAAAATGAGGTACGGATTTGATTAATTTCACAATACAAGAAGTTACAATTCCACTTATTAGCCATGAATACTTCATTCTGAAGTTTATAAAGGAATTAGTTACACGAAAAGCAATAACCAATTGAAATAGATTGGAATTGTGGCAAATAGCAATGCTAGGCTAACAATGGATAAAATGGACGAGATAGTAAGAAGTTTTGCATCAGTACGGATGACGGCAAATTAGAAGCTGGTTGAAGCGAAGGAGGAATGAACGAGTGAAATTTACCATTGAAATTTCTGGGATTTTTGAATCAGTGGTAGGTGTTAAGCATTGATTCGCTGACTGTTTTTTTCGGGATTCAAGTGTTGCTGCTGATTTAGAACTAATTTGATTGGCTTGATGCTTCTCATATCCGTCAAGTCATTAATTTTCTTTAATTTTGGAACCCGTTTTTCGACGAAAAATTTTGATGATGAAGCTGGTGGTGATATTTTCAACGAATGTGGCATTTCATTCGCTTTATTTGCTAAATAACTTGGTTGAATCTGAAATTGTTGTTGCTGCCCAGTTATTTGCTCAGAATTTTCATAACCGAAAGGAAGGTTTGCTTGGTCAGTTAAAATAGAAGTATTCTGATGGTTGTACGACATTTCTGGAGTAATTATTCCAACAAATGGTAACATTTGCAAATTGGATACATCTGCTGGATGTTTTGAAGTAGGAGTGAAAAATGGACTGGCACCATTAGGTAATGCTATCGAATACAGCGGAATATATTGTGGTTGTGATCTTGCTCCGATTACATCAGGTTGAGTTAGAAGTACTGGATTTGATATTGTTGCTGCTGATGCTGTGCTGCTCGATGGTGGAGGAGGAGGTGGTAATGTTGTTGGTGGTGGTATTGTCCAGGTCATTGGATCAAGTATAATTTTGCCTTGTTTTTCAAGGAATTCCTTTGCACGTTTCATTATCTCCACTGGATCCTTCAAATTCTCTTCATCTTTCGAGTTTTCACCGCACCACGTCGAACGTCCAGAATAATCACCGGACATGAAACAATTATGATATTGCGCCTCACACGTGATTCCGCTTGATAATAGGATTACCAAAATAATAATGCCACTCATCATTTTTCAAATATCCTGAAAAAAGGAAACCCTTTCAGAAATACCTTTTCTTTTGGTATAAGTTTTGAAATAGAAAATATGGCATGTTTCAGTGTAAAATAACTTTGATTAATTTGATATATCGTTGTATAGCAAAGTCAAACACCCCAGAAATGTTGATACAGTCCTTATGACCAGAATAAGACGGTATCAATCCATATAAAGTGATTCTGTATGAGCCAACCTGATAAACTCACTTTCATGATACGTGTATGAAATATTTGAAGTAATAAAAAATTATGCAAAGATTTACTACACTCCATCTTTCACGACGATATCGGAAGAATATACCGGATAAAATTAACATATCTTTCTGCTTGAGACTTATTATTCCGGGTAAAATGAAGTGAATTGAGATTGTATTATTTTGGAAAATAAAGAAAGAAAATCACTTATTAGTTTACTGGAAAACAATTTAAAACTTGAGTCATTATTCAAATGAAAATTTCAGATGAGAACGCATTTGCATCCTTTTAAATGGATGGTTCAAATTCCTTCGAAACACTCTCACCGTTTTTATCTATTCTAAATGTTCTTTTTGTTTTCAGTACATCAGATTTAAAGAAAATTTCAAAGTTTTTCTGGAATCAATCATTTAACAGCATGATATTTAACTTACATATTTATCCAGGTCAAATTATCGAACTTTCTGCAATATATTTTAAATTGATACCATTACCTTTTCCCCTTTACATCACTCTCATCTTAATAGATCACAGAAATGCTCAATAATTTATCGTGTAAAAGATGGTAGAATATCAAAGTTAGCAAAAATTAACAATAGCACATATATTGGTTACTTTTCCAATAATTAAATTCTGATTGCAAGATGATAATTATTGATCATAATTCGTTTAATAAACAGGAAATATGAAAATATGTACAGTTACTGTAGAAACAAAGTATGCCAAGTTGGATAATGATTTAAAATATTCAAAACAATAAATATGATGTTGCGGATGATTTATTCAAATAAGCAAGGATTAAATGATAAACAACTATAAACGAGGAACAGATTCCGGATGACCTTAAGTGAGATGTATTCCATACGACCATAAAGGTATATATATTAATATTGATATAGATACAGATGGCATTTAAAAATGATGAATTGATCATTCAGAATGATATAATAACATTGCTGGCATATAAATTGGAAGGACCAACACCTATTTCATCTCTTCCAACTTGATGGTCTATTTAAAGTGTCGTGACAAATATCCATCCTTCTTTAAAATTACTTTTAAACTACTTAAATCTTTTCATGATAAATGACTTTAATCTTAATGACACAAATACACATACATACACACACCGAGGCACTCACTTGCATGCATTAGTCATTACAACATATTTTGAAAGAAAATCTGAAACCGATTTACAGAACAAACCGAACAATAAACATCATCAGATAGTGTAATCAACTTGATAAATGGATGAACTGAAATAAATGGTCTGAACAACCGGTATATGATAAATCTTCTAACCGCAGGTTAATAATCCGTACACGATTTTGATGGAGAATACCTTGCATAGAAATTATCTGACATTTTCTGGTTTGGTTACATATTGTGATATGTTGCATGCTTCATTCATTATCGTTTCATTCTTGTTAAATTTTAAAAAAAAATTCCAACAATATTTTGCAATAATTCTTACAACAACACTCAAATAAAACATAATGAAATCATTGAAAAAAAAAGATCAGAAGGAAATTAAATTTGAGGAAATAAATACTTAAAAACTGATGAAGTGGAACTGTATTATATACATGAAACTAATAAATACTGCTACAACAGTACATTTGAGTTATTCAAAACGAAGAAAAAAAAGTACAAATCAAATTTCTTATAATCAATGCACTAAAGAATGTATTGCACACTAGATATGTCATTCATATTGTACTCAAAGTCCCGCTGTAATTTTTACTTGCATAAATTTTCCATTTGCATTTCAACAAATACTTCAAATTCTCCTATTGTTAATTACATACGTTTTTCACATCACAAACGAACCAAACTTTCATTGCATATTTATTTTTTCCATAGCATTTATGAATCAGTATGTAATAATTGGTGAAGTTAAAAGGTAAATTTGAAAAGTCGAATTAGTTTTGTTAATTACAAGTGAAACGATAAAGTTTGGTGCAGATTTATTAAATAAATTTAACAATTTATATTTCGAAAACTCCGTAGTACAAGCAATAATAACCCGACTAATAGCAATTAACGACTAAAAGTAAAGGATGGATAATGATGTTTACTAGAACAGTTACCATAAACATGATCGATATCACTGGTTGGAACGTTATCCTGATAAAGCAAAGCAATTCCTTCTGCACTAGTATATGCCTCATGGTGAAGTATTTTCATTGGTGGACTTAAAATTTCCGGATGAGGTAAACCATGGATCGATTCTTGATGGACATATGTTGCTGATGGTATGATATCGGGCATCCATCCATTAACACAATTTCCACTTATTTCAGCATCTTTAATAGTTAATGAATACTTTAAAATCATATAAAAATGATGAACTTCATAACATTGCGAAATTTCGAAATAATACGCAGAATAAAGTTGATGGTCTTTTACAATTAGCAATAAAGTTGAACCTGTATTTGATGACTGTAACAAGAGAGGAGTTTGGCACTGAGGATCCAAAGCTTCTTCTGTACTTTTCGGCAAGTTATTCATCCACAAACCATTATCATAACGAATATTTTGCTGGAAACACAACTAAATTATTTCCTTTGTATCACAGTACACAGTTCCCAATGAAGGAATTTCCCTATGAAAAACTAAATTTAACAACTTTATTGTTGCAACTTATAAAAAGAAAGCTATGAATATAAATTTAATCTCGGACCTCTGACTTGTCAGCATATTGGAGTAGGTTTTAAATGGATTTATAATTTCGAGAAAGAAGGTGTTTTTGAAAATTCATATTATTAAATTTCATATCTGGTAATTATTCAGTCTTAAATTCCCCTCCCCTCTCAAAGCAACGACCTCCGTCGATGCTAAATTTCCGGCAATATGTTGCATACGTCCAAATATTCAATACAGTAACTTTTTAACCGGATAAAATGTACATCGTTCATGACAACCATTCAAGAAAGATTTTAGTCCATCTACTCCATAAGGACTGATTTTAAATCTTTTAGGCATTTTTAGCACGAACAAAATTAAACATGATCAAATTTTTTGGAATTTCATCAACAAATCAATACCATTAAGTGATACTTGAGAAAAAAATCACTACTTATTTGTAAGGATGACGCTTATTAGATGACGATTTGAAATAATTGTTCTAAATCGTCGGGAAATACAAAAAATTCTTTCATTTATGCATTTTTTAAATGGTAGTGAATGTATAGTAATATCTTTAATTTTTCAAATTTTCTTTTTTCACAAATGGTGATTTTTGGTGGTCATAATAATAAATCACCTTTGGACCAAAATAATTTGTCCATAAGAAAATATATGTGGCAACAAAGACCAATGTTGAATTGAGCGCAATTTCGTAGAGTGGATTATCAGCATGATCGAACAGTATGTAAAGACCGAAAGAATTATAAAATGCGCACAATATAGACTGAAAAAAAGTGTATTTCCTTATATTTCAAATATTTTCTTCTACTATACAATTACTTTTCCATTATCAAATGTTCTCTTAGATTAATTAAAAACAATGATTTTCATGCAATAATTTTTCTATCTTTCTGACCTAATTGAACCTTTTTGACCTCATTCAATTTTCATTTAAATATAAATCCCAATAAAAAGAGATTAAAGTGAAGAAGTGATTGTTGAAAAAATACTGAAAGATCTGTAATGGAATGAACAACGATATCGAAATAAAAAAGGGAACAATGTGAAATTTATATATCATCTTTATCCGATATCACTAAATTTCTCATTTTTTCTATTATATACCTTTTCAGCATTGTTCCATCGATTGTCAAAATCGCTTACGGTTGGGAAATGATTATTAGAAGAATTGAATTTATATAAAATGGATGGAAACAAACCAGGATAATGTGCAACCAAAGTGTCGTTCGAATGGAATACTCGGTGACCATATAATTGAACTGCTTACTAAATGATATCAGAAGGGCCGTCGAAAACGCGTAAAAATCGAACTGAAACTTTTATCATCGTCATCTACCATACAATTTAAGAATTCAAAAAAACTAAAAAAGAAATAAAAATATTTTCTGCAGATTACATTTACACCAATATTAAAGATAAACTTGGAAATAAACAGCACAGTAGTAAGTTTAATAGCATTTGAAATTCCGAGACGTCAAGGATGATATTGCCCAAATGATAATGAATGACCGAACATCCATTGCAACATGACTTCCTCATAGTACGCTTTGAAACTAACCAGACGAAGGTAGCTGTTTTCGAAAGTAGCTCAAAATTTCGATCTTATATTTGTTACGTTGAACCAACCATTAAATGAACAATAGATGACAAAAGTATAATATCTATTAAAGTGCAATATCTATTAGCTGTCATGCAACTGTCAACTGATTACCACAGTAGATATGAATCTTTATAGGTAGTCTTATCCTTTTTCATTTTTGATGACGAATTAAAGCAAAAAGGTAAACATTGCAAGGGACTGTTAAGTTCATGGTATTGAATGACGACTCATAAATTTTTGATGGAATATTGATAATTCGTTCGGAAAGAGGGAATAAACGGAGGCCAGGAGCAATAATGAGTAAAAAAAAACAATGAAGGGACAGCAAAATAATCGGTGAAGTAAATTTCAAAAAGTGAATTACCAAGATATAAAGTGCAACTGGAATCAGGAGAACCCAGAAGAAAGGTTGGTTTGGTGAAAGTGAACATCCTGGAGCAAGGAAAAACGACGCTAGTGATAATAATATTGGAATAATCACTGAACATAGCATTATCATCCAGTAACTGCAAAATATCAATTTAAAATTAGCAGAAATTTGAAATTTTTGCATCAACGTGTTGACACGTTATTCGTTTCTTATTTCAAACAAATCAATACATGAGAAGGTAAGTAAGTGTGCAAAATACACTTTAAGTTGGTCTACTGAAAACTTTATTAATTGAAAGTACTTGAAGTTTCAGTTAGGCATTTACTTTATCTCTTAGAAGATGTTAACTTTGGAGAAAATAATAACGAAAGCATTCGGAACTTACTTCGACTCTGCCTTTCCCGTTGCCAGAAGCCGATAAATGTGGAAGGAATACATAAAAAGCCATGCAAATACTGCCGAAGTACATAAACTTATAATTGTATTACGTGCAAGACAAAATACCTGCAAAAACTTTGCGGGAATGGTAAAACAGAAAGAATAAAGTTTGAGCATCTTGATAACAAATGAATTGCCAATGGAAATATAACAGACATCCAAATGTTCGATTACTTTCAGATAAAATAAAGATTTCAAAATCATATGTTAAATTTAAAATTGAAGATTTCGGAATTAAATTCAGAACTAGTAAGAATTAAACATACAGTGCTTGGTTGAAGTCGATGAACTAAGAAAATAGCAATCACATCCAGTGCAAACATAAGGATAAAGCCGAATCGAATAAGCCTTAGGCGTAGACAGGGCCGATAAAGACTTCGGATCGCCGACAGTAGAAGTAAAACAAGAGCAAATATTACGCACAATGATCCAGCATAAGGTATGGTTTTTGAAGGTATGAAACGGATCTGCAAGTTGACGACTTTCAAAAAAAATTTTTTTCCTTCAGGAATTAAAATAAAAACTTTATCGTTGAAAATTCCAAATTTCACTTTCCTTAGAATTTGATTCTTGTTTCAGCACTTTTATGACACAGAGCAATTTTCGACATTCAAAAATTTCACTCACCAGAGCCCCATGATCTGGTCGAATAATGATTGTGTAAACACCAGATCTTTCGAAATTACAAATAGCATGGGTATGATTAAGTCCCACGAGTGCAGCTCTTTGTGCAGACCAATCCAAAAATATATTTTCCGTTTTTACATTTTCATTTGCCCAATCTTTAGTTTTAGACAATTTGCCATTTTCTATCGGATCTTCGGCAATCACACACTCTGGATACTTCCAAGCTTCTTCGTTAACTGGGAATAACACTTGAATTACACAAGTGGCATTGTAGTAAGCAGCAACGATCGGTGCATTGCAGTGGAAACGGTCTACATTGTTGAACATACCGTAAAATATAATATTTCTAGGATAAACTACTGTATCTTCACATAGAAGCTTCATCTGTATACTACGAAAATTCTCCGCGCGTTCATCCACAAAGTTATTGAACTTTGGCAATATTCGAGTCCCATCAGCTGATATCTCATCCACTGCGAATACTATAATTAGTCAAATTTAGTTACATGGATTATAACCCAATCCTTGTAAAAACCAATTTATTGTCTTGAAGAAGAAGCGTACCTATCAAAGCTTTGGTGACATGGAAGAGGGTTCATTTCGACAGTTTATCTGAGATGTATTGTTCTTTGTGGAAAACTAAGTTTAGACTGTTTTAGAAGTGAGAATTAAGCAGTTGAAATTATATGCACATTCCCGACCATATCGTTTAGATCACTGGGAAGAATAAATCCAACATGAAGAAGTATGCTACAATAGCATTTTCCGCTTAAGTATAGGATGGCTTTCCAAAGGTGCCTATGCTATTAGCAGCCTATTAATAGAGAAACTGATTCCGTTTAATCGATTCATTTATTTGACCATTTTAATATAAGAATTGAAAAAAAACAGCAAAAAAAGCGACCCATATTCTGTCCGCAGAACATAAATGGTTTGAGATACGAATGAATCTGATGGACGTTTGCTACATAAATACCATAATCATTGAACATATGAATTAACTGCGCATTATGTAGGTAATCCTTTATCTTCAATAAACTATCCGCCACTTTCAGTAAATGATTGGTATATTCTGCTGATCTGTAAATAATAATGAGGAAAACAATTAGTTTCACTTCATATAAAACTTATTAAAGGTTTGATTTTAAAGTTGTAAAATCTTCTTCCAAACTTCAAGGTTTTGTTTGGAATTTTTAAAATAGATTACACACTTCAAATGACTATTCGGTAGATCATTTCCAGTAAGTTCTTCTCTGATTAATTGTTTCATTGCTTTTCTCGCAATAGCAACATTGACACCTTTCAATTGCAGCACGCTGCTTGTTGCATTTGACAAGCTTTGTACAAGCTTCAATCGATCAGTCAAATCTAACTGAAAATTATAAGTCAAATTTTTTTTTTGAAAAAAGAATTGCTTGTATATTTATGAAAACGTTCGAAAGCTTATCTGGAAAATACATATATAGAAATGTAAATGCATTTCGTCGTGACAAAAATTCGGTGATATTAGAATCAAGCATGAAGATCTGAAACATTTCGTAAATTTATGCTATAACTATTCAATATGACAATGATTACCTTAGTGAAGGCAGAAAGAGTACAGTTATAACTGTTGATTTGATCCCAGTAGGCACTTCTCAAACATTTCCGTAAAACTAAACCAACTTCACCATTTGGACAGCTCTTAAACAAAACAGGTCAATACAATGAATGCTCTCAAATAACAAAGAATAATCCCTATCTTAGCTGTGCTGTGAATTCATGAACAATCAGGAAAATTAATCAATAATGTAGTCTTTGAATAATCCATATTTCTTCCAGATCAAAAAGTTGCCTAATATTTCCTGGATGAAGCAAATTAAATTTAGTTATCCCTTTTTCTCTAAATAGTTATTTGGAAAATAACAATAATTTTGGATGACAAAAAGGCATTACTTGTCTTGCAGTAGCTCCAACAATTGTCGTTGGCCATTGAATACCATACTCAATGTTTGATGGACATCTATTTTTGATTTTCAAACATTTTAAAGTTTTCCGATCTAAAACTTGATCCGAACTAGGACACCGATCACACCGACGACCAACTGCTTCACCGATACACTGGCATTGACCTTTCGAGGTACAAGTTAAGTCCGAGGAACCATAACCGCATTCACACGATATACATTCATTTCCCGAATAATAGGCACCATTCTACAAATCATTTTATTCTTTTGAAACGTTATAAAGAAATAAATGGAAACAAATTCTGAGCAACTATTGCTTTTGTTGAGGAATTAAGGTGACCTTGCAGTAACATTCGCCCGTTTTGGTATTGCATTGTTCCAGGAAACCTCTTCCGGTATCACAGGAGCACTGTTTACATTTCGGAAAAGTACCATACCATCCTTTTGGACATATTTGCAAAGCTATTTTACGTTCACAATTCTGTCCATTCAATTCACCACTGCAGACACATTCATACCCTAAAATTAATATTTTGCAGATTTCTCAAATTAATAAAAAGAATGAATAGAGCAGGAATTTAATGAAGATTGCAAAATTATAGAAATCAATGTGTACAATCATATGAACTCAAATGGGTGCCCAAAAAGAATAAAAAAAAAAGGAAGAAAGGAAAGAAATTCTAAAGAAATTGGGAAAATGATGTGAAACAGACTCATTTGAGACAGAAGGCAATGAAATATTACCTTTTGAACTATTCTTTATGTGACACACACCTTCTTTACCACATAAATTCGGTAGTGAACAAATATTTACGCATCCGTCGCCAATGAAACCTAAGAAATTCATCAGCTATATACATCACTAATTTTGCTCATATAAGCCACACTTCTAATGATAAGTACCTGGATTGCATTCGCAACGATGTCGGTCCCATTCTCGAACGCAAACACTGTTAGGAGGACAGGCTTTTGGCGAATTGCATCCATTTGGTACCTCAATTCAGGAAAGTAATTTTATATAAGAGGAAGGAAAGTTTGCTTTTTTCTGTTTTCAGAAAAATACATAATTGAAATAATCAAGCTTCTCCTACACGATGATGATTGGTTGAATAAAGAAGTTCAAAGTTAATATTATTTTAGACATTGCCCGATTTTGTCGCACATATATAAGAGATGATTAATTAATACTTGACAACCAGGTTTTGTCATCATATTTTCAGCTAAATTCAATCGCAAGTTATTGATTTTAACGTTCCGAAGACATCCTTCAAATCGTTGTGGATAACTGGTTGATGGAGCTAATCCCGAATAAATTTTGCGTATGTCACGATATAAGCCATTATTTTGCATTACAATACGCTGAAATTTGAATGAATGAGTAAAAATTTGCCTGAAGGAAATTAAAACTAGGATCTCATAGCTTCAATTTTAAGTTCAGAGACAGAGAATTGAATGAAATTTTTGAAGAAATAGCAAAAAGCAAATGTTTTGAATCTTTTGCTTAAATTAGGCTGCTTAAAACTTAAAAAATATAAATTTGGAATGTGCTCTTTGAGAAAGATGTGAAAAAGAAATTAATAACTGGCAATAGGGAATGTAAACCTTTTTGTATAAGTGATCGATGACAATAAGCGTAGCGTATTTTTCGACAACAATTGAAAGGCTTTTCAAATTGCCGTCAGCAAAATTTGGAAATGATAGAAAATACTGTTCGGAGCCAATGCTTATCAGTCCCTTGCCGTGACTTACCTTCAAATTCAGAAAACGAATTAGCGTTTAAACATTTTGAAATTTTAGCTTCTTGTTCATGATATTGCAAACCTCATTTGCATCTATCTTGTGAAAACAGTCTCCCCGGAAATTCTCGACAATAATTTTAAATTTCAAAACTTTGGATATAAAAATTTACGTTATAATTTCCAATCAATATACATTGAATTTGACCAAATAAATTAAACTGAGCTAATCTGAGCGAAAACTGGAGAGAAATAAGCAATTAAAAAGCATACCGAAAAAATAATGAATTGTGACCTTTTCGAAAATTCAATTGTAATAACTTGTGTTTCACGTGAACGCGTCCGAAATTCGAATGACAAATTGTAGAACTTCATACCATCTGGTACATTCCAAAAAACGAACGATTCTTCGTCATACAATGAAACAAATGAATCTCCTGAAATAACAGATTACAGTGATTCTGAATTTCTAAGAGATGGATGCTGACACATAGGTGGAGAAAAGGTCATGAAAATTATAATAAAATTGATGGTCGCCATTTCACTTCATATTACGTGTGTCATGATTACGAACATTACGATGAGTGTCAAAATGATAATCACAGTGATTCGCTTCGAAATTCGATTTTTAAATTTAAAGTGAATTATTAATTTGATCGTTTACAAAATTCATACCGTCATCAGAGCAAGGCCCATTAGTATGCGCTATTTGCTTACAGCGGCAATGATATCCATCCCATGCTGGCTCACAAATTGCAGTATGATGACATGGGTTATTGTGACAATCATTTCTTTTCTGCTTACAACCAGGTTGTAAGTCTCCAACTTTTTCGAATTCCTCAAACTTTGAAAAATCTACGAGTGTTCCATCATAGGTTAAATTTGCGATGCATCCAGAGAATGGTTCCTGAATTCTTGCTGACCCATATTGATTATTATTGATTCCACTGATATAATTCTGTTCAGCAATAGTTACTGCTCGACCGCCAAGATTTATAGCAGTAGGAAGATCGAAAAATCGATAACAGCTTACGGCTGGGTCGTCACATCTGTAAGAGAAGCTTTTTGAGGAGAACTGTTAAATACATAGTATGTAAAGCATAAGTTACTTCACAATCTAAAAGTAAGTGACATTTCATCAAACACTATGAATACTTCATGCTATAACTTTTCACCTTCATTTTCCTATGGTAAGGAATTTTATAAAACAAGTATGTCCATCTTTGATTTTGAGTTTTTCTGGTGAGCTTTAGCATAACTAACGCACTTTTTCGGTAATTTTGCGATAACCGCAGCAGCACATTTCTGATAACCAGTAATATTGCTATACTTCATGGCAATATGAACATCACAATCATCCAGTGATATGATCAATTTCTGAAACTATCAAACTACAACGGATAAAATATAAAATTTTATTTTGTTTAGTTTTCTTCCTGAAGGTTTTTTTCCTAAAAACTTAGGATAACTTTTCAGAGGTCAGCAATATTAAAAGATTCTTGTAACTAACATTATCATAGTAATCGAGCTTTACTTGATGCCATTTTCCATCGCTTATTCTGTTTTCTGGCCAATCATCCATTGTAACCTGGAAAACTTGCAAGGCTAGATTTAGTCTATTTCTAATTAACGGATGACAAACAAACAATGATTTTTATTGTCAGCAGTTTTGCAGCATATGAGATAAAATTAGAGATATTAATTCGAATGAAATGAGGAAATCAAATTTTTTGATAATAATGGGAAAAAGAAAGGGGAAAAAACCTCATAGATGTCATGACCGAGGGAAAATCGTCCCCTAATAAGTTCATCCTCTAGTGACACTTCCAGAAAATCCGACGATAAATTTCCCGCAAAAAGCAATACACCATCCGATGCTACTGTTGCTATGCTAAACATAAATTCTTTCATTCAAATATCACGGTAAGATGTTCTTTTCGTTAAAATATTTCGACAATATTCATTTAAAATGATGAAAGTTTAAAACAGAAACATTAAAAAAATAAGTTCGTAATTTAAAATTGAAAAATTTAGCAAACCTAAACTGCAATTCCCATTGTATTCGAGTAATCTGTAAAGGTAGAACGATGTAACCACCGTTTTCTCCAAATGAAATCGAACGCAGTCTACACTGCGAATCCGTATCGTGATAATGCCAACGACATTGCATACATCGCGCTGTTCGATTTACTAATTTGCAAACGGAATCCGAAAAGCACAAATTCGGCAAACAATTATCCACATAAATAGACTTTTCACAATTTTCTCCTGAAAAAATGCTGTCATTTGTCAAGTGTTATTTCAGGCTATAGAACCATAATAGTTGGTTTTCAAAAAAAAAACGGAAAGAAACTCAAATAAAATTGAGATTTTATTCCCAAAGGTTTTTTTTTGTCGTAATGATTGTTGTCTAATACTAAACTGAATTTATTTCACTAACCGTTTGTTATTTCACTTTTCACCTCCTATAAAATCGGGATACCAGAAGGATTTCCATCTGAGAAGTCTTATCGATAATTTTTGTGCAATTTTTTTCCCCATGACTTTAGTCATGCATTAATTTATAATTATTCATAGCTTTTTAACTCGAGGTAAAATTCTTGATACCCTTGCATCTCTTATCATATCAATTTATCCATATGATTCTTTTTTTCGCTTGTCAGATTTTTTTTTTTTAAAAAAAGCTTTTATAGCCCAAAAATTCATTACAATATCCATTACAGACGAATTTATTGAACTCTAGACGATCCCTGGGGGGTCGAGAGAGAGGAATGAAATGAAGTGCATTAATGTTATATGAACATTTGCATATAGGCTTATTAGACTGTCGTAGGAAAAGAAAGAAAAGGGTGAGAGAAATGCAAAGGTTTGGGAAAGATGTGTGGACACATTGGGACAGGAAACATTCATATGAATGGTAATTATTCAGCGTCCAAGATGGGTCACACCGTCATTAAAAGCTCTTACTATACTAGCTTCTAAGCTTAAAAGGGTTATCAAAAGAAGTCTTAAGGACTTTATTCATATCGTTGGAAGTGTTATTATTACATGTCCTTCTTGTACCACTCCAAGAATTTCTATTGTTAACAATAATTTATTGGTGTTCTTTTGAATACAAAATTCTTCCCAATGTTCACTTCTATGACTAAAACCTAAAAAGTTTTATGGATTAATTTGAATGCACAAAAACTTCGCTAAGAAACCAATTATTTAATTCACCAAGCATTTTAAAATTGTTTATTTCAAGAAATTTCATGTCAATTTTCATTTTTTTTTGCGTTCACTCCCTCCCACTTTTTAAACGTATTTATTAAACAATCGAAAATATTAGATAATGAAAAGTCTTATTGCAAACTTTTGCTAGGCTTGAATTGTTTCAGAGGACAGTTCTTTCATGAAATTAAATGAAAACGATTCGAAACCATTGTAATTACTGTCATTTAATGAATGATAAGTGTAAAAATTGTGCAAAATTATGCGATCTATTTACTGCAACAAATTGTAAATTTCTCAATTACTCGATTTCCTGCTATAAAAATTAATTGTCGTTTGGTGACAGCAGATCAATTAATATTATCCAATTTGTGAATAAATCATTTAAAGAGGCAATTTATGTAATTAAATTATGAAATAACCTGTCCATTCTGGTGGACAATTGCAACGATATCCATTTTCTAGCGGTACACATGTACCTTGATGTTGGCATGGTGACATGAAACACATATCAAGACGACGGTTACAAGACTGTTCAATGCCATCGCTGCCTATAAAAATTAATAAATATACTTAATTTATTTTTATTCCAAAATTTCTAAAGCTACAATATCACTGCAAGTAGTATTTAATGTTTCAATTGACAAAAATCAAAATGATCGGTAGAGAATTGAAGCCGATACAAGCTTAAATGCAAAGTAACCATCAGGGAGGATACAGAATCCGAGATCAAATATTCGTTCAACTAATTTCTCGAAGATCTCACTGCTACCTATAGGAAATATTCATAAAATTTCCACTATTTCGAAATTCATTATACATCAAATAGGTTGAAATCTATATGAAGTATTAGAGTGCGAAGAAAATTTCATCATTTTGCATAATTGTTGTTGTTGGCAATAAATAATCAAATCATATATTGCTATAGTGAACTACCATAATAATTTAAAGGTTTTAATTTACTTCCCATTTTACATAATAGTTTACAGTTTGTAAGCATACACTTCCTTGTCATTTCAATGTCCTCCTTAATTAAAAAGTTACCACATACTCTCTCACCCATCCATTTTCCCTCTCATAATAATTATATTATATATTTCAATTTGGAATTGACAACTTCGTTATGAAATATGAGGCTAGGATGAATAAATGTGCGCTCATATCAAATAAGGGCATTGATCCGTGTAGCAATAGTTATTACACGAATGACATTTCAACACTTTTTTCTAAACTTGTGAATAACTGCCAAATGAAATCAATCATCCTGCTTATTTGGCGACCATTAATGAATGTTTAATGGAATAGAAGTCACTGTCCAACATTAATATTAAGAGGGCCATGGGTGGCACTAAGTCACTAGGCCAATTACTCAAATTTGATGCATTCATGCGAAGATGATGCATACTGCAGACAGTTTTATAAACAAATAAACAAATAAATAAATAAATAAATAAATAAATAAATATATATATATATATATATATATATATATATATATATATATATATATATATATATATATAT